TATTTCAGCTTTGACTGTATAAAATGCAACGTTAAAATATTTTCATTTATAGTGCCTTTTGTCTTGTCTCATTCTTTATTTGCCTCTTGGTTTATTGTGAATTTCACTGATAAAATCAGTAAATCTGCAAATAGCGGCCCATTGAATTCATCATTCAGTTTTATGAGGCATACGCAGCTGTCAGTTTAAAACCTCCTTTATCTGCTTAAACAATTGTCTGTGTGGGAGTATTGTCTTTGTTTTCCTAAAGACGTTAGATGTTTTAACAAAGCCCAACCTCCAGAGTTCCAGTCTTGATTTTACAACTCCCTATTATTCAACTAAGTTACAGTCTTTTGTCCTTTACAATGCTATTAATAAAGGCTGCTTTGTAGGATAATTGAAAAGGTCTGACAGCATATCTAATTCTCATTGATTAATTAATCATAAGTCCTACCTAGTGATAATTTAATAAAATGTCATTTAGTGTTTCAGTATATCTCATTTGGAAAGATAATTTTGACATTGATTTTTTTTTGTCTAGTCTAGCTTAATCTTAATACACTTCTAAAGGTGTGAAGTAAAAACATTATTCATAGCATGCACAGATGAAAACCATGAAATTTAGTTAGCATTAGAACTGAGAAACCATAAAATTATAATTGCATATAGAAAAATTACCTTTATGGTATAACTGAATTTGTATGGTTAATTGTTTTAATCAAGGCCTTTATGGCTTACATAATAATGTGATAAAAAAGTTAAAGTTCAGACAGCATTACATTTATCAGTAAGTTGAAATATGAATTTCTCAGAACTCAGAATTATGATGACAGAAATAAGTTTGACAGGGACATAATTTTAGATGTCTCAGCTCCTACATGGGGTGATATTGGATGGTTTTCCTCAAGTTGTTTAGATTTTAATGTGTTCTGTTTCATTTAAAGAAATTCCTAGCCATATAAGTCAAGACAAATAAAGTCTAAAACACACCTCTCATTGAGGCCTTAAACCTACTAACCAATAAATACATTTTTACAGGACACCTTGACATTTAAATGGAACGAACTAAGATGTTGACATAATAAGTCCTCAACTGTTGACTTGGTATACTAAGAAGACATATTAAATGCAAAAAAGTACTCCTTTCTATTTTGATCCATGCTTTACTCAACTGTTTGGCTTTACAGCATTGCTTCCATGCACACCATTTATCACCCCTCCTTTGGCCACCATTGGTAAATTGTTAGTACATTTCTAATGTTAAACTGGCCTCAGTATGTCAGGGCTTTTTAACCACTCGCTTCGAATGTTATCAGCCATTAAATGACTGTTATTAGTTAGGCTAGGCCTCAGACTGACGAAGCCTCTTGGACGAGGGGCGAAACGTTTCTTTTTTAATAAAAAAACGAAGTCCAGATGACATGATTCAACCTTTTTTGTTGTTATTAGTTGTTATCAACCCCAAAGGTTGCATTCAGACTGTTCATCCTGTCCCTCTTAGTAGGTTTAAAGGTATGTTCTTATCGTTGATAATGGGGTCAGGGGGGCAGGTTAAGTCAAGGATCAGGGGGTTACGTTTAGGGCCAGTGTTCTGGGTCAGATGTAAGATTTGGTTTAGGAAAAGGGTTACATACAGCTAACAAAAAAAACCCTTCCGGTTTTAGACGTGGGTGAAGCTGCATATTATCAGCAATAACGATGTACCTTTAAACCTACTAGGAGGTAGGAGGGACAGTCTGAACACAACCTATGGAGATAACTAACAATAGCCATTTAATGGGCTGATAACATTCGAAGCCACTGTTTTAACTGAGGAAATGACCCTTCCACAATGTTAGTGCACAACAACTTTAGAGGGATGAAACAATATTCAAGAATTCATTGCATTATGTAGGCTTGTTAACAGTAGTAGGGGGCGGCTGTGGCTGAGTGATTAGAGCAGTCGTCCTCCAATGAGAGTTGGGGGTTCGAATCCACCAGCAGTCACATGTCGAAGTGTCCCTGGGCAAGACACTGAACCCCTCATAGTCTCTGATGTGTGTCCCATCAGTGTATGAATGTGATCTAAAAGCACTGATTAGTCTCATTAGAATGATTTGTTCAATTAGCTTGTAGAGATGTAGAGTGCTGTATGAAGGGGTAAATGAGGCACAGATTGTAGTGTAAAGAGCTTTGAGTATCTTGAAATAAGATAGAAAGGCGCTATATAAGTACAGTCCATTTACCATTTAGTAGTCCACATTAATTCATCTTAATCTTCTACAAAAAGTACACCTCCTCTTTTTTGCACATTGCATCATCAACCATTTAAAAACTCCTTTGTCACCACTTGAGCTGGAATCCCAGAGCTGTGTCTGCACAACATCATCAAGGCAATACAGCTTTTCTCTTAGGTCAGCCAGTGTCAATTTTTGAGGGTGTTCAGAAAAGATTTAAAGTTTGAAGGATTTTCAAATACAGAAAGAAGCGACATATTTCTGGCGAACTTCAAAAAATAGTTCAAGAGTTTTTGCACATCAGTGATATACTCCACCTGCCTGCTTCCATTTTTTGACATTCTGCTTCATCACAAAACCTGCACACGCTCTATTACACCTTTCCATCTTTATGTCTGTATATACCTATGAATGTATGCGTTCTTCATGTGTAAGACTGATTTGATAAGCATGCGTGATCGGGTGCGTCTGTTGGTGTCATTCCCATCAAATCTCAGCTTTACCACCCAGAAAAAAAAAGCCCTGCTTCATTATGGCCTGATGACAGATGACTAGGGGGAAAGAAGAAAACATTGTGGATATAAGCAAGGTGAAATAACAAAACAAGCAGCAAAATAGAAGGTGGTGAGAAAATGATGTGTGAAAAAAGGTAAGAAGTCGCTGAATGATTGGTAGAAAACCAAAAGACACTGATGAAGAGTAAAGACAGACATGGGTATGTGAGAAAGGCAGCGACAGATGGAAGCAGGAACAAATAAAAGTGCTCGTGAGGGCTCCCTCACAAAATTGATTCTGACTGTCGGCCAGGGCCCCTGATGGATATCTAGGCCTTGATGTGAATTTTCATGCCAGACATAACCCTCCTCCATCGTTCCCACCCAATAACCCCCACCCCCCACTGCCACCCCCCGCCCTCAACCTGCTTTGAGTGATAAGCACAATGAGAAAGTGCTGGCATATTTAGAAGCCAACAATGGCACTTGCTAAAAGTTTCTTTGGCTGGGAGAAGGATGTGTTGTTTATGAGCGGGAATATAATTCCAACAGTTGATTAATGGCAAGGAAGCTATCGTCAGCTGCCATAGCGCCACAGGGGCACGCCAGGTCCAAATTGGATGAGCGCAAAGGAAGAAGCAAGGTGCTTAGTTGCTAGACGAAGTGAAACTATCACACTGAGATTTTTTTTTACTTTTTGCTTTGGATTGCTGTTTTCCAAGTCATGGGGATTCACTGTTATTTTTAAACGCTACACACCAATAACAGTAAACTGACAACAATAAGTCAAAATCTGTGGCTTCACATGGCCAATATGACCTGAACATTCAGAAATAGTACAAATTATGTGGCTTTTTTAAAAATATATATATTAAAAGCAAATCTTCTATTTAATTCCAAAAATAAACACAACTGCATGTTTCCCTTGTTTGTCTTGCTTCTTGTATACCACCATGTTTCTCTGACACAAGCTATTTGCACTTCATCCCATGCATCTACCGGTACTCTCAACACACTTTTGTGTCCCATGGGAGGCAGAGCATTGTTCTTTTAAACAGTATCTATGCTTGGAGCCATACAAACTGAGACAACTATTGAAGTGATCACATTCATTCTTTCTGGAGCACTATTCATGAACCATCGAGTACCGCATGCAAAGTACTGCATTTTCTTTTGAACACAAAATAAATATCTAAAATAACTCCCATTTATTAATAAATAACTTTAATTCATGTGGTCAAAGCAAACAGGGACTATAAGTAACTAGAGGTTGTTATAAAACCACACGATGTTGAAATTAGATTCAGAGATAATGTCACAAGTTTGAATGATTTTCGTTCATCTCTGTGTTACAGTATAATGGTAAACTCCCCAAATGCGGATGTTGTTTTTATTGTGAGTAGAGGTTTTGTCCAATGATGCCAGTCTTGTAAAAAATAAATTAAAATCAGTGTGTCATTACAGCAGAGTGTCAAACTTGCAATGCTTTGAAAGTGACAGTAATTAAAAATGGTGGTCTTAATAAGCCTTTTTACAGTCAGTCTTTTTAGGCTTCTGACAGTCGAAACAGAAGAAAATGTAAATAACAACTTTGTTGGGAACTCGATCTAAAATAATACCGTATGTGTGAGCACAGATAACAGAAGAAAAGTAAACAAAGTATTCTAAACAGCTGACAGAAAGCAAAAGAAGTGTATTTGCTATATACAGTATATAATAAATACCTTATGATGTCATCCAATATGACATTTTTCACTTGTTTTTGTTCTTTTCAGAAGACCGTTATAAAAATATGAAGAATGCATCATTCAGAGCTACCGTAAGATTTCCAGAAAACAGGAATTTATCAGGATAACTCTGCTCTTTATCATGTCATCTGGACTTCGTTTTTTTGATAAAAAGAAACGTTTCGCCCCTCATCCAAGAGGCTTCGTCGGTCTGAGGCCTAGCCATCTGGTATTACCCAGAAGCCGAAAACGTTTCTTTTTATCAAAAAAACGAAGTCCAGATGACATGATTCAACCTTTTTTGTTGTTATATACCTGGATGACTGAGAAAACAAACTTTGTGTCTGCTCTTTATGTTTATGGTAACCTTAAATAAATGCTGATATTTCCCTTTGAATATTTATTTTTGCCATCCTCTTACGATCTCTGTCCCAGTGTCAGCTCCTTGCAACTCTCTACTTAAAAAAAGTGGGTCCATTTATTGGCTGTATACATTTTTTTTGTTGTTACGCCAACAGTCATCACATCAAGACACAATAAGAAAAGTAACAACTTCAGAGTAAAAACCTTTTAGTACTTGCCTATGTTGCCTGTTCGCAAGTGAAGCCAGCCTCTGACGATGGTGCGAACAGTCATCGGGCTGGATGAGCATGGTCCCAAATCTGAATCAGTCAGTAAAGTCTCCTCTCCCACATAATCGGTGGTCAGTATCTCTAACTTATGAAGGGCCTGAACAGCAGATTTACCGTGACGCAACATGTACTGGAGGTCCAAAAAATAAGAGAAAAGACCAGGTGAAAAACATTTTCATTTTCAAAGTATACAATAAGGAAGAATGAATGAATAAATGCATATGTATTTCTTACAAACAAACAAATAAATTAAATAACTATGTGCTGTATGTCAGTATAGTTTGATCTGAGCTTGTTTATAGCCAAAAAGACAATAGAGTTCAAACAGTCCTGTCCAGGGGTGAACGATTCCAGAAATCTTGTGATGAATAACATGTTTTAATTTATAAGATTTTCAATATCAAGTCCCTAATGTATGTACTTATGTTTGTTTTTTTTTAAAAGCAGCTGCAAATGTGTTGAGTTAACCCTTTAATGTTTGGATAAAGAGCAGTACTAAAAGGCATTGGGTTTCTTTCAAGATTGCTGAACCACAAATAAAATCTTCACATATCTCCTTTTTAATTAAAAACAGTCTTTTTTTGTTTGTGAATTTGAAATAAGGAGGAATATTCTGATCCTATTAAAAATAAAGTTTTCAGCAAGACTTATGATATTGTTTTCTTGGATTGGATAACTAATTTGTGATAATAGTTTTCTCCGAATATTTCCACTAAATGTGCTAAAACGAGCAACGAATGCAGCACAAACCCAAAGCATGTGTGCAACAGTGCAGGTGTGTCATGATTCAGTGATGGAAATACAAACAGATAGCTGTTTTTATATGTTGACTGATGGAGCAAATAAAAATGTCATTAGGGCTTGACTGATCATTTATAATTTAATAGTACTACAGCTTGTCAACAATCAGTTTAGTACATGAGTAGATTCAACTCAGCAAATTGACTGCATTGACTTCATACTCATTTACCTTGAGCTCAACAGCAGTGGAGCCTATGAGGAGCAATGAGTCACTGTCCCAGACGTCGATGTGCATGGTGTGGAGAGCAAGGTAGCGAAGGAACCAGCACTTCTCTCCTGGTCTCAGGAACCTGTTGTCTACTCTGAACTGCATCTGCAGACCTGGAGTGCCTTCAAAAAGACAGGAGAGATTTCAAATTGATAAAAATCAATCATTAATTCTAAATACGGACAAATACAAATGTACAATTAAACAAAAATGTCAAAAACTTTTATTTATTATATTAAATTATATATTAATAAATTATATAAATTATATTTTAACAGTGTCCGACACTAAAAAAATATTTTAATGAATTTTCGACACGCAGCACGGTGGCGCAACTGGTAGAGCTGCTGCCTCTCAGCGAGAAGGTCCTTGGTTCAAACCCTGGTCCAGGGGCCTTTCTTGGTGGAGTTTGCATGTTCTCTCAGTGCATGCGTGGGTTTTCTCCGGGTGCTCCGGTTTCCTCCCACAGACCAACAACATGCATGTTAGGCTGATTGGTAACTCTAAATTGTCCCTAGGTGTGAGTGAGAGAGTGAATGGTTGTTTGTCTTGTTTGTCTCTATGTGGCCCTGTGATGGACTTGCAACCCGTCCAGGGTGTCCCCCGCCCCTCGCACAGTGATTGCTGGACATGGGCACCAGCGACCCCCATGACCCAAAATGGAATAAGCGGGTAAAGATAATGGATGGATGGATGGATGGATGAATTTTCGACACCATCCATTATCTTTTACCCACTTCTTCCTTTTCAGGTCACTGGGGCCCATGTCTAGTCATCACTGTGCGAGGGGCAAGGTACACCCTGGACAGGTCTCCAGTCCATCACAGGGACACAGAGACAAATGAGACAAATAACCTTTCAGTCTCTCTCTCACACCTAGAGACAATTTAGAGTTACCAATCAGCCTAACATGCATGTTTTAGGTCTGTGAGAGGAAACCGGAACACCTTGAGAAAACCCTTGCATGCACAGAGAGAACATGCAAACTCCATCCAGAAAGGCCCCCAGCTGGGATTCGATCTGGCGACCTTCTCACCGAGCAGCAACAGCTCTGCTAACTGAGCCACCGTGCTGCCGAATCTTTAACAGAAATGCACAAAATAAAAATAACAAGTCACTTTTGTATTTTCTTGCGGTTTTCTAGTTCAAAATATTTAACAATACAATGTTTGTTTACTATTACCCTTGTGAATCTATAGTAATATGACTGAGTGGGGAGTGGTGGAGCAGAGGTTAGAGAAGGTGGGCCTGTGATCGGAAGGTCGCCAGTTCGACTGCCCGGATCGACAAAATCAAAATGTGGGTTGAAAAGGTGAAACACCAACATCTGCCTCCGTCCTCATTTACCCCACTTGGGGCCCAAGGCCTTTAACCCCCACCAAACAGGTCTCTCTTGAAAATGAGTCCTCCTGACTCAATGAGACTACCTGTTTAAATAAATAAATAGTACAAAACATGAATATACACTTCAGTAGTTATAGTTATACAGTATTCAGTGACTTTATCATTATAGGGCCTTCAAAGTTTTCAAAACTAAAATTTCATATAAGGACTGCGTTAGTGTGGCAGCTTGCCTCACCAATATATAGATCTACACTCACTGGTCACTTCATCTGGTACACCTGGTCAATCGCTTGTTAAGACAAACAGCTCATCGGCCAGTCTGGCAGCAACTCAGTGCCTTTAGGCATCTAGACGTGGTGAAGAGAACTTGTTGAACTTCAAACCGAGCATCAGTTCTTGCCCTTTTCCTTCAGTCTCAGTAGGCATAAAATGAAATTCACCATTTATTACTTTGTGATTACAGTGGTTCTGTGCAGACTTTAAATTTGACTGAATACCCAGTCAATGATATGAGTTCATTTTTGAATTTATACAATAAACACTGAGCTGCAACTTGAAATATTAAGCAGTTTTGTAATACTGTTTTTCAAAAGTGTTTTAAAGTGAGCTAGAACGCAAACTCGACTCTGAGAACTCTCCCCCACAGCATCCCTCCAGCTCTGTATGAAAACCTAGACGGTTTCTTTACTCCTCAGAGCTGCAAATACAAAAGAGCAGCCAGGTGAATAGGAGAGAAGTAATGAGAATCTTTGATGACATGCCTGCTCTGCTATAGAGACCACAAGACCCATCAGGCTTTCTCCACACATAAACTGAAGATGTTTTTTTTTTCCCACTCACACATATGTTTTGCTGCATGTTATCCTCATGATACATTCATGCAGATAAGAGTCTGCCTGAAGCTCTAATTAATTCAAACCATTACAAATCTGAGATTCGGTTGTCATGGAAATGTGGACATAATATAATCTAAGCTTTTCAAAAATCTCTTGGTGGATTTTTGGAGCTTTGCATGTTTACTATCAATAAATGAAGCTCAGAATTCTTTGATCTTCCTCCTATTGTCAAGACTACAGTCACTGCTTCTGTCCTGGTTTTCATGCCAATGCCTCCTGCTTGTCAGATATGATTGAAACTACAGAACAGACTGTACAAGAACTTTTGCATTTATGTGTTGCACAATGTTACATAATGGTAATAGATAAAGACTGAATTATGTTTGGAACCAGATTTATATAGGGTTTTGTTTTAGCATCAACATAATGAGTTCATATGTATCAGTCACATGTAGGAAAAATATGAATGAAAAAAATGTATTTTTTTTTATTAATCTACAAAATAAATTTGGCTAAAACAGCTAATTTGGGGGGGGGGTGTTAGTGCACTTTGTTTTCCTATTTTAGTTACAATCATGGACTAAGTTGGAGTTAAGGAAAATAAAAGCTTGTACAAAACAAAATAGATGTGGAGCAGGATATTCTGTCTACAGTTCTCAGCTTTCTGCAAAGGTCCTCCTGTGTGCATTTCTGCTGCTTTATATCTTCTTTGTTAGACAATACAAACCAAGGGTTACAGTTCAGCTGTGAGCCTTGAAATGTTCTCACTCCTACAGAAGGGAGCAATCAGAGCAACATATCTGTAGAAGAAACAGAAGACCTTCCTTTCCAGCAATTGGTGCACTAAAACCCATCCATCCATCCATCCATTTTCTTTACCCGCTTATTCCATTTTGGGTCACGGGGGTCGCTGGTGCCCATGTCCAGCAATCACTGTGCGAGGGGCGGGGTACACCCTGGACGAGTCGCAAGTCCATCACAGGGCCACACAGAGACAAACAACCATTCACTCTCTCACTCACACCTAGGGACAATTTAGAGTTACCAATCAGCCTTACATGCATGTTTTTTGGACTGTGGGAGGAAACCGGAGTACCCGGAGAAAACCCACGCATGCACGGAGAGAACATGCAAACTCCACCCAGAAAGGCCCCTGGACCGGGGTTTGAACCAGGGACCTGCTCGCTGAGAGGCAGCAGCTCTACCAGTTGCGCCACCGCGCTGTGAACACCACAATGTATTTTGATGCATGCTTAATAATCAAGGTAGAAAAATATAAACAAGTTAAATCTGGTCCTCTGGACATTAAAAAAAAAAAAAAAAGTAGAAACATTTCGTCTCTCATCCGAAAGACTTCCTCACTCTGAGGTGCTGTTTTCAGCTCAGTCTCTTAAATAGCACCTTCTCAGAGTGGATCAACCAGTTTGCTGCTGACAACCAAAACCAGCTGCTCACATACTCAAGAAGGACCATCAGCCTAACAATGGATCATTAGCACACTGATGGCTGTTTACTATTCACAGGGGTTTCAGTGATAATAGCAATCACAGCATTGTAAGAGGGGGACAGTTGAACCCGGAGGCCTCCACCCCTGTTTAATGATGGACGATTTCTTTTCACAAAGATGGCCTCCTTTACTCCTCTCTCAAACCATCATTCCTCTCTGTCCAGGATGTGAACATCTTCATCTCTGAAAGAGTGACCGCTGGCCTGGAGATGAGTGTAGACCACAGAGTCCTGGCCTGATGATGATCTTCTGTGCTGGCCAGACTGGTTAATCCCAAAGATCCAGTCCCCCGGCATAAACAGAGTAATATTGTGTATGTTGTTCAGTGTCAGGAGAGCTGTGATCAGTCTTACATCGGGGAAACTAAAGAGCCACTGGCCAAAAGGATAGCCCAGCACAGAAGATCAACATCAGGCCAGGACTCTGCGGTCTACACTCATCTCCAGGCCAGCGGTCACTCGTTCAGGGATGAAGATGTTCACATCCTGGACAGAGAGGAACGATGGTTTGAGAGAAAAGTAAAGGAGGCCATCTTTGTGAAAAGAATAGAATAGAATAGAAACAGCCTTTATTGTCCCACGGATGGGAAATTCAAGTGTAACAGCAGCAACAGATAAAAAGATTTCACCCAAAAGTTCCTAAATGTTGAACAACAATACAATATATAATAAATAAGATAAACAATATCAATAATAATGTTCAATATGTATTGGAACATTGAGAATGGCAGACTATTTACAGTACAGTATTATAGGCAGAGTGTGTATTTTAGCAGAGGTCAGCATGTATTTAATCCTTATTGAGTTTGTTGGGAGCAGTGATGGTTGTAGAGTCTTAACAGCTGCTGGGAGGAAGGACCTGCGGTAACGCTCCTTTGTGCATTTAGGATGCAGTAATCTGTCACTGAACGAGCTGTCCAGTTCAGCAACAGCTTCATGCATGGGGTGGGAGACGTTGTCCAGCAATGATGTTATTTTAGCTAGAGTCCTTCTGTCTCCCACCACCTGCACTGGGTCGAGGGGGCATCCAAGCACCGAACAAGAAACCGTCCATCATTAAACAGGGGTGGAGGCCTCCGTGTTCAACTGTCCCCCTCTTACAATGCTGTTATTGCTAGTATCACTCAGCCCCCTGTGAATAGTAAACAGCCATCAGGGTGATAATGATCCATCATGAGGCTGATGGTCCTCCTTGATCATGTGAGCAGCTGGTTTTGGTTGTCAGCAGCAAAACTGGTTGATCCACTCTAAGGTGCTATTTAAGAGACTGAGCTGAATACAGCACCTCAGACTGAAGAAGTCTTTTGGATGAAAGACAAAACATTTCTACATTTTTTTGTTTTGTTATGTTTGTTTGGAATGTCCAGAGGACCAGATTTAACTTTTTAGACCACAATGTATTATTTTTGTTTTCAGTAAGGCAGCCCAAGTCAGAA